AAGAACGAGAAAAGAAACAAAAGGAGAGATTACAGCAGTTCTTGTAGGAAAAAGAAAAGAAACAAGAAGAACGAGAAAAGAAACAAAAGGAGAGATTACAGCAGTTCTTGGAGGAAAAAAAGGAAACAAGAAGAACGAGAAAATAAACAACAAGAGAGACTACAGCAGTAGTTGGAGGAGAAAGAAAATAAACAAATAGAGAGACTAGAACAGTGGCAAGTGGAACACGAAAAGAAACAGGAAGAAACTCCCAACACTTGAGAGAAAGCCAGCATACACAAATGGAAAGGATTAGTAAATTTCAAAGTGAATTAAATACACTAAAGGACGATCTACTGTCTTTTACACAGGGAGAATATATTAACCATGGACCTAATCAGCCCCAAACAATGGCAAGCCCCTTCCAGACCCTGCAGCTAAATCCTAATGCAGACATCTTCAGTCCTGCCAGAAGTCACATTCCAGACATGAGTGTCAGCAATAGGAGTGATCTAGTACGAAGGAAGCCACAGGAATTCGATGGTAAGGCACCGTGGGAAGCATATAGAACACAATTTGAGCTCTATGCAGAAATGAATGGATGGACAGAGGAGCAGAAGGCAGTGTACCTGGCAACGAGCTTGAAGGGACAACCACTGGAAATACTTGAACAGTTCTCAGCAGACGACAGGCACAACTATAGAGCACTGGTAACTGCTCTAGAACTCAGGTATGGAATTCAAAATCAGTCCAAAGTCTACAGGGCTAGGTTTAGGACTAGAGTCCATGTTAAAGCGGAGAGCCTGCAAGAGCTGGCACAGAACTTGGAAAGTATGGCACACAAGGCCTACCCAACTGCACCACCCGATGTCCTGAAGCTGTTGCTGAGGGATCAGTTTATAGATGCCTAGGACAGTCCACAACTGAAGATACAAGTGAAGCAAGCATACCCCTCTACTATGCAGGATGCAATGGCCAGAGCTCTTGAATTTGAATCCTACGTTAAGTCCAGCAAAGAGGTACCAAGGTTGGTACATTCATCAGGATTCATGGCCAGAAAAGGGAAGCTTTCAGAGAAGTTTGAGGGACTTTGCTGGCTCTGTAACAAACCTGGGCACAATAGAACTCAATGCCAGCAACTTCAACGCAGGGAAGATGCCACAGCAAGAAAGGCTGCTACCCAGAAAGGTTGTTGGAACTGTGGAGAACAAGGACATATGAGAAGCCAGTATAAGAAGAATACTACCAATAAGTTCACCCTCGGGGAAACCAGTAGTGATTGGTATTGAGGGATGCCCACCAACCCCCATTGTGAAAGTCCCAACAGCTAAGTGTAAAATAGCAAGCACACATAGTGTCTATGTGTCAGGAAAGCTGGATGGTCAAAATTCAACTTTGTCATAGATTCTGCATATCAGCAAACTCTTGTGAGTATCAAGGTGCTAGATCACAAAGGAGCACCAGAGCCATACAGAAAGCACTGTGGTGTGACAGGACATTATGCAAGGTTATGGGGACTAGTGTGGGTAACTAGTGAGTTCATGGGCATAAAGGACAGACACAAAGTATACTTGGCTGACATTGAAAACCCATGCATATTAGGGATGGACTACTTACTACGGAGGAAGTTGTAGTTAACTTTGATAAAATGACGTTTGGGAACAACAAAGGCCAAATTCTGGTAAGTGTTAAAAGAGAGGTTGGACTAACCAGGTGCTATCAAGCCGAAGTCAAAGTGACTGAAAGAGTTGATGATGGTGAAGTGGAACCAAGTATAGATATTAAAGCGGAACAGGGGAAGACCAAGATTTGAAGCCAATAATTGATTTTCTACAAGCAAGTGTTTTGTGCCCTGCTTGGAAGAAGGTGTCTAGCATAAGCCCTGTGACAAAGAGCTATTGGGCACAATGGGACCAGCTGAAGCTTGAAGATGGTATTCTTCTCAGGAGATGGGAAACTGCAGGTGGGAAAGTGACGACCTGGCAAACGGTTATACCGAGAAAGTTACGGGAAGTTGTGCTGTGTCAATCCCATGATAGTTTAACAGGAGGACATCTTGGAGTTAAGAAGACATTGTGTCACCGACGGCAGATAATTTACTGAATAGGTATGAGGCAAGATGTGGAAAAATGTGCAGGACCTGCAGTACATGTTGTGATAAAAGGGGACCCTAGCATAAGGGACGTGCTCCAATTAAGTTATATCAAGTTGGCACACCAATG